GGGTGCGCTGCTGGTTAGTGAGCTCCAGCATGTCCACCAGCACATCAGTGGTGTGCCCTGGCAAAGGCTGCATCACAGTCAAAATCTTCTCCACCAGGCTGTCGCCATGGTGACCAGCAGCCCCTGAGGACAAGGAAAAACAGAGAGAGATTTAAACCAAAAACAAGGTCCAAGTAAACATGAATTCATTCTGTGCGTAAGGGGAATAGACTATAGACTAAGGAAGTGTGACAATATAATGTTGGACTCTGGGTTGGCTTGGCATGTTTATGGACATCAGTAGTTGTACAAGACTCTGTTATGCACCTGTTAGATCCAGTGTCCTGTCGATGAAGACGATGGATGCTTTATTGGGGGCTGTCTTTCTGCGGTTTTTGGCTTGAGGATGATTGGCCAGTTCCCCAGCAATGAGACGGCTCATTGGACCCAAGGCAAAGCTCTCCTCCCGGGTGCTGGTGGACTCAAACATGGAATTAACCGCAGAGGCCAGAGATTTAATTTCAATCTGCAGCTCCGGAGTAAGAGAGTGCATGTCAACATCAGTCAAGCTGCCGAACCTCTTCTTCTCTGGGCGCTTTATATTGATGGTCTCGAGGTCTGGTGGCAGCAGCGGGAACAGGTGCGCGAAGGTGGGCGCGAGAAGGAGCTGTGGTGATATGGGAGCAAAGACTACAGGTGCATGCATGACTTCAGCGGTGTAGTTCATATCTCCCATCCACTCGCACAGTTTATCTTCAAACTGCTCGAACACAGGGTTCCCCTCTAATTCAGCAGTGACATTGTTAGCGAGGAGGTGTATGGAGTGGGCTACGGTGGTGAAAACGACACAGTACTGAAAATGACTGAGGCCAACGATGTCTTGTATAATGTCAGCTGTTCTCCCTTTGAGCAGAGTGCTCACCACAAACACCGCCTTTGGTTCGTTTTCACCACCGGCTTCGAAGCTCGAAAACTGCTTTAAATTACGAGCACCAGCCTCAAATACAATGGAAGCTCCACCGTTCCAATGAAGACTCTCAGCACACTTGTCGTCCATGAAAACCACCGCTTTCTTTACCTTTGACAACACTTTGTCCCACATCTGACCGGGGAAACGTGTAAAGCCCTCAGTTGGTAACATTGTGGAGATGATACTGTTGTTTAGACCGACCGAAAAGTGCAAGATTTCTATAAAATTGTCAGACAGACGCCATTCCAAAACAACAACACAAACACATGTGAGTCTCTTAATGGTGACGTGGCATTCCACGTCGCGACAGATATACGTAATCATACATCTGCTGCACCGGTTTAATTTTGTAATGTTCTGCATTTGCTATTTACAAAAAAATTAAATTAGCCTGAATTGAGTTTCCTCATATAGCAATATACTAGCTACACGACACAAAAATACATGCCTTGAATAAATTGAAGAAAATAAGAAAAACATACATAAATAGATATGCTTATCATGAAGCTCAGAAATAAAGTTGCAAGAAATGTATACGTTGTAGCAAAAAAAGATAATCTCAAGACATACTGACCAATAGGAGACTCGTTTTTCTTCCAACGTGGATATACGTCGGTGAAAAGTGAACGTCCTTATAGAAACGTGTGTGTTAAAGTAAACTGTCACTATTTTTGACCGATAAGGTGACACGCTGTCCTTTCCGTTATTTTTAAAATTTCACCGTTGTAACTAACAGTTTGAAACTTGAAAATCTGTGCCGTGAAAAAGTTTGGCGAGTTTGGCGAAATAACTGTTATTTCATTGCGAGTTGTTTTATTTGCTAGAGTAACTGTCAAATTGTGTGATTCAGAAGAAGTGACTGAATTTGGAGAGATATGTCCGCAGAAGAAATTGACAAAGCTTCTGACGCAAGCAGGGGCTATGAAGAGGAAGAATGGTTATATGGAAGTTGTCAAAACAGATGTTATGACACTATTTAGCTCTTAAATAGTTACATTTTTGTATGGCTACCATTCGGTGTCTGGCAAATGATGGGCTGTCAAATTTCTGTTAGCTAGCAAGCTAACCACAACACCAGAAACAACACGTGCGACAGCGTACCACGTTGACAGTGCGACAGCTGTTTGGGATGTTTTCTCCTACTGCTTATTTCCTGTGACCTTTTTGGTAGGGAGCGAATATGAGAACAATGTCCAGTGACTATGAAGGAATTATTGAGTTCCGGCATTTAGATATTTGAAGATCGCTGGGATATTGTCTGTTTTGATTTTGAGTGTATGATGTAAACATGTTGATACTTGTTCTTATCTGTGATAGATTTGTAAAATACTTATGCCCCACATAAATTAGCTGTATATACTTGCAACATAATAAATACAAATGTTGTTCACATTCACACTCACACATTATTTGTTCACACCTGTGGTACACACATTGTTTGTGCCACTTAAAGCACTGCATAGTCAATCTGATATCTGCAGTGGCCATACAGCATTTACTGCGATGCGGCCTCCGCAGAAGTCAGTCAGAGCATTCATACTTCTTGCTCTTCGTGGAGCAGAGCATATATGTTGTGAAGGAAGTTGTCAAGGAAGTTAGTTTTTTATAAAGGACCTCCCGCCCCGACCTACCTTCAACCAATCATGTCAATGGGGAGCTATACCGAGCCCTCGCATTGTTAAACAATTTGGGAGGCGCACAGCGATGCGGGACAGAGCTCGATGTGGCCTCCACAAGCCTATGGAGTCTCCGAAATTGCGTCACAACCTCCATATTTCCAAAGCAAGCATAACTTGGCTTTTACACAAATGACACCTTTTTAGTTTTCTACACGAATAATATAGTCATCACACCTCTATTTGATGTTTTTTGATATTCACAACACATAGTCACAGTATTCACTCAGAGTCAGCCAGTACCGATTCTACACATTTTGCCATTATAGCCTACCTGTTTTATAATCTCCAGCTTCATCTCCCCTATTTGCACTAAATGATTCTTGCTTTCAAACCATTTTGACCATGAGTGATCACTTACGGCAGTAAGCAGTGAACTGATTCAGAATAATATGGGATGGCAGCTTAATTTCCCATTAGGACCAATTGTGCTTTATTAATGAAGCGTTTAGATATACCGTAATGCACTTTTCACTGCTCAATAATGACTGAGCAATATCGTTATCTCTTGGTTGTGTGTGTCTGACGCCACTATGTGCAACGCCTGAAATGTGCAGCCAGTCAAGTGGAACATTAAGAACTATTTGGATGCTTGTTAAATCCTTGGCCGGGCAGGCGCTGTTTGTTTGTGAGCTTGGTAAAGTGGATCTAAGGCTCCATTAGATAGGGGCTATGATGGTCGCTGTGTTCGGCTTTGTTAAAGCGTATCACCTCAGAGTAAACGCAGCGTTTTCAGAATCAAACAGTCTCTCTTTGAGCTGCTCGACCATTACGTTACATTAGGGATTCTTCAAGCAATAGGCTGTCATTTTACTTTCATCTCTTTACAAGGAAATGTACAGTATGCAGTCTGCAGACAAGTTAAGTAATACCCCTGTTTGCAAATCTCTAACATTTCCCTGTACTCTATTCTTCAAATGTTACAAAAGTCTCAATGTAAGCAGACTGTGTGTTTCTAGTGATGTTATGTTTTTTCCACAGTGCAAAGCCCCAGCCAACTGCTGAGGTCCATGAGAATGTAATAGTGAAGCAGGTACCTACTGCTCAGGGTTATGGAGGAGTCGACCTGTGATAAACAACACTTTTCTGTTTTGATGGAAACCCATCATGGAAGTCCCTCAGAACCCTTCTTGCTACTTGGCATATTCCTCATTAACTGTGTGTGTGATGCATGTCATGCTTTTATGAATGTATGTTGTCTCCATCTTTGTCTTTGTGTTTCTGTAATGTCAGGATACAGGTCACGAAGACCAAGACAATGAGGATGATGATGATGACGTGTGTGTAACCATTGGAGATATAAAGACCGGAGCCTCGTCTCAGCCGTTCAGATGAGAATCTAGACAACAGCAATGTGTTAAATACAGCAGTGTGTTACTGTCCTGAAATCTGGATTAGTTTTGAAGCTCCAATTTGAGTTGAGAAGAGCATAATATATCAGACCCTGTACACTGTTAAATGGAAAAACCTTTTGTAGAGAGCGTTTTTTCACCTGACTGTCAGCACGACTGACATCAGTTGCTGTTGCCTCTCCTTTCTCAGATCATTTTATGAGTCATGATTATGGTTCCAAGTTACAGTATGCATATTTGGCAGCATGCCTTATTCTCACCACCCATGTCACTTTCAGGGGTCTTCAAAGCACATTGCCCAGAGTCATGGAGGCAGCATGTCTCTCAGTGCGTGTCCCCTTGGTGGTGATGATGATAACTGTGTGTGTTTGGTTTGTTTGTTTCATTGTGTAGTGCCTTTGGCTCCACGCCTGTTAATCTCAACATTAAGGCTGCAGGGAGAACACATGCGTCAGGTAAACACCCCTCACCTAGGCCACCTAGGTCATGTATGTGTCAGTGCATGCTTATGCCGAGTTCACGTGCTAGTTGGACATTTCTGAGTTTCCTAATTCCGACTAGCACGTGAACGCGGCATTAGTTACTCATCCAGACCCTCATTAATTATAGTGACAAGAGTGTGAAGTGAATGTGTCACTGACTGTGTGTCCTGTCAACTTTTCTACTATGGGGGACAGTAGATTGGCTGAGAAAGTAAATGTGGATGGTTATTCTAACATCTTCAAAGTGCGCATCGGAATTTGGTAAGAATGACGCACGTCGTTGCATCCTTGACTTGCATGTTCTGTTAATATGAATTACCATAATCTAAATGTGATTTCTGTCATTCTGAACAATGTGGGTGGATGCCCTAAGCAGGTTACGCACCCAATTTCTCAAATGTCCGGTAAAATCAAATGCTGCCGGTCAAATGTCCAGTGCCACATTTTCCTAACGAAAACCCTGGAGTGAGATGATGTCTGTGTGCGTGTTCTGTTGCAGGTGTAAGCTCAGGCCTGGCTGATGAATGGTCTGTGATACGGTATGTTCAGCTTTCGGTTGTGTTTGTGTTTAGGCTCGGACCTCTCAGACTACTTTAACTATGGCTTTAACGAGGACTCCTGGAAAGCCTACTGTGAAAAACAGAGGAGACTACGCATGGGGTATGAGGTCATGAACCACGCTTCAGCCACTAAACTCATGGTAAAATATGTATTTATTTTTGGACATGGATACAAGATTATGCATTATCACAATATAAGTGCAATAATTGTTCCCATTAAAGAAACATTCTCAGGCTTTGACATTGTGTGAGTGAGTTGCTCTTCCTCTTAAGTCCACCAGGGACGTTCAGCCCATAGAGATAGGGATGTGCCCTTCCCTGCTTTAGGTCTGACTACACCTCCCCCAGCAACCACTACAAATCAGCCTTGTCCAGGTAGGTACCCTGGTTTGTCCCCCTCTCCCCTCTCTACCACTGTATGTATCACAGCAGCTGTGGCATGAATAACCATACTACACATGTCTGTGGTAACCACTACCAGCCGGTCATCACTGCCTCACTTCCCTGGTCACTGCCACCTGGAACCCATCAGGGTGGTCAATGGTTTGTATTGGTCAGTGGTACCTGTGTCTGAGGTAATGTTCTTACCGAACACATTACATCCTGAAATGTTTTGAAGTGATAAGTCATGAAAGGTATGTTAAGTCACTTAACTATTAAATGGCTAGAAATAAAGGTATAGGTGCTGCGAGCGTTGCTTAGTTAATCTGGTCTGTTCCCTCTAATGAAGTCCTCATGTGCATCACCTCCCGTCACGTTCCCGTTAACGGCCACCTGTGAAGGGAAGTTTTTAGCATTGGGGCAAGCCGAGCCCTACGGGGGGCTGCTTTTACCGTGTGAAGACTGGGACCATGGAGTTTTACTGCTCAATTACAGTGGCCAATCATTTACGGGCTTGGGCCCGTAGCAGCAGACATTAGCAGACTGTGTTCGTAAACACTCCTGTCCTCTCAGCCCCATGGCCTCATTCTGGTTCCACTCAGGGACCAGGTGCTCTACGCCTCATAAGGAAGAGTGATGGACTATCACAAACACACACTCCTCCACCCCTCCCCTCCTTCTTGCTTTCCCTCTGGCTCTGTCCCGCTCACCTCCTACTTTCTCGCTCGCTCCCTCCAATCCTGTCTCTTGTGAGTTTAGCAGGGCTCCTGTCACGGTGGTCCAGACTACAGACTGAGGGGGATAAGGGTGACTAACACAGGCCACTTAATTAAAGGTCCGTCTCTATACGATGCCCACGCTCCCCGTCTCCCTCAGCAAGGTTCCCCTCAGGGGAGGTGATGTGAGTCTGAGCGTTACTCAGCGGTCATGCTTCTCCCTCTCTCTCGGTGACACGACCGACCGGGCCAGAGGGGAAGCAGGAAGTCTGAGCATGACAAACACAAATACACACAGCATTGTACAGCAGATGAAGTGTTAAATGAGGCCTCCCTACACTACAGACCCTCTCTCTCCCTCTGTTGAGCTGTGAGAACACTGGTGGCTCCGGAAGGGTAAAAGTTCAAACAAAGATGGTTTAATATGAAGATGTGTAGAAACTGCTTCTTCAGTAGAAATCCCAGATCATGCTTGTAGGCGATGTCATGGCAACGTTCGGTTAGCTAAGCCAATTCGCAGAAACACGTAATTGGTTCTAACGGTCGTCTCACGCTGAACTGCATATGTGCAGGCTGTCAAATCAAAGGCACTCCTTTGAAATAAAGTAGTTTTTGACAAAAATGAAAACATGTCCATTTGTCACTTTCACGAGGTTGTAGTAATAACATGTTCAGCTACTTAAGACATTGGCTCGAATCTATGTTGTGCCTTTAGATTTCGAGAAAATTAACAACTAAGGAATAATTTTTCACTTCTCTCATTGACCTCTCAAAACCCCTGTCTGGTCTGCCGAGTCTGCTTCGCAAGCATTCCCGGAAGTCTCGCAATGTTGGGCCTCTAGGTTTAGAAACTCTGTGGTGCAAACTTGATGCTTGGTTGAAGGAGCACATATTGTGTTATATTGTATTCTCTCCACATTCCCTAAAATCAAATCACATTTTATTGGTCGCATAGACATATTTTAGCAGATGTTATTGTTGGTGTAGCGAAATGCTTGTGTTCCTAGCTCCAACAATGCAGTAATATCTAACAATACACAACAATACACACAAATCTAAAAGTAAAATCATGGAATTTAGAAAGAACAAAGGATCCAATTCAGGAAAGTCGTGTTCCTGGTCGAAATGCTGGTGAGTAACCGCCTCTTTGGAGTATTTTTTATTTTTTCAAAAGTTATTTCCGGCTGTATGTAATAATGCAAAGAACAGGCTAATAACGTGTGAAATAACAACAACAACAACAACAACAAAAATACTGCAAAGTTGCTTAGGAGCCTGTGTGGGCCTTTCTTGTCTGTCACATTTTATTTCCATGTATCTTTGAGAAAGTAGGTAAAGTAGTATCGGCTTCAGCAAAGCTGCTGTGTTTTATATTGATTTGATATTAGGGTGCTTTTAGAGGCCAGAGGGAGTGACAGAGAGGGGGGGGGGGCTGGTTGCTGCAGTTTTTATGCTTTCCCTTTATAACGTTTACTTCAGATGAAATCCTAGTGACCGAAAAGGGGTTAGTGTCCCATCTGTGTTGGGGGGGGGCCATGTTCACGCCAATACTTCCCACAGTTGTCAAGTTGGCTGGTAGTGGATCTCTACTCCAAATAGCTTGTTCCATCTCATCCCACGGATGCTCAATTGGATTGAGATCTGGTGACTGGGCAGGCCGCTGCAGTAAGCTGAATTCACTGTCATGTTCGTGGAACCATTCCTGGACAATCCTAGCCTTGTGTCATGGGGCATTATCCTGCTGAAAAAATATTTTCGCAGATGGATACACTGCTGCCATGAAGAGATGCACCTGATTGGCAATGATGTTCAGATATCCTGGGGCATTCAAATGTTGCTCCACCTTTATCAAGGGGCCCAATGTGGGCCATGAAAACACACCCCACACCATCACACCACCACCACCAGCCTGCAATGCTGAAACGCGGCATGATAGATGCATGTACTCATGTGGTTTTCTCCATACTCTAGTCCTCCCATCAGTGTGAAACGGCAGGAACTGGGATTCATCAAACCAGGCAATGTTTTTCCAATTGTCCAGTGTCCAGTGTTTTTTCGTTCCTTTGCCCACTGCAACCGCAGTTTCTTGTTTTTTGCTGAAAGAAGTGGAACTCTGTAAGGTCGTCGGCTGTCATACCCCATTCATGTCAAGGTATGAAGAGTTGTGCATTATTTTATGTGTCTTTGGGCACCAATGTTGTACTGGACTTTGGACACTATCTGTTGCTCTGCGCAATTCGTGTCAGCCTCCTTTGTCCTCTTTCATCAATGACCCGTTTTCGACCACTGGCCTGCCGTTGGCTGGATGTCCTTTGGGTGGTGGACCATTCTTGATACACACAGGAAATTGTTGAGCGTGAAAAACCCAGCAGCATTGCAGTTCTTGACACACTCAAACCGGTGTGCCTGGCACCTACTACCATATCCTGTTCAAAGGCACTTAAATATTTTGTCTTGCCCATTCACCCTCTGAGTGGCACACCTACACAATCCATGTCTCAAATGGTTCAAGGCTTAAAATTCCTTATTTTATCTATCTACTCCCTTTCATCTACACTGACATCAATAAGGGATCATAGCTTTCACCTGGTCAGTCTATGTCATGGAAAGAGCATGTGTATTTAATGTTTTGTACACACGGTGTGTGTGTATATACTGAACAAAAATATAAACACAACATGCAACAATTTCAATGATTTTACAGTTCATATAAGGAAATCCATCAATTGAAATACATTAATTAGTCCCTAATCTATGGATTTCAAATTAATGGGAAGGGGTGCAGCCACAGGTGGGCCTGGGAGGGCTAGGCCCACCCACTGGGGAGCCAAGCCCAGCCAATCAGAATAATTTTTTCCCCCACAAAAGGGCTTTATACTCCTCAGTTTCATCAGCCGGGTGGCTGGTCTCAGACGATCCCGCAGGGGAAGAAGCCGGATAGGGAGGTCCTGGGGTGGCGTGGTTACACATGCTCTGCGGTTTTGAGGCCGGTTGGACGTACTGCCAAATTCTCTAAAACGACGTTGGAGACGGCTTATGGTAGAGAAATGAACATTACATTCTCTGGCAACAGCTCTGGAGGACATTCCTGCAGACAGCATGCCAATTGCATGCTCCATCAACTTGAGACATCTATGCTATTGTGTTGTGTGACAAAACTGCACATTTTAGAGTGGCCTTTTAGTGTCCCCAGCACAAGGTGCACCTATGTAATGATCATGATGTTAAATCAGCTTCTTGATATGCCACACTTGTCAGGTGGATGGATTATCTTGGCAAAGGAGAAATGCTCACTAACAGGGATGTACATTTCTGGGATCTTCTATTTCAACTCATGAAACATGGGACCAACACTTTACATGTTGCATTTTATATTTTGGTATTTTTTTTCAGTATATATAAACTCAGCAAAAAAAGTCTTTCAAAGTCTTTCAAAGATAATTAGTAAAAATCCAAATAACTTCACAGATCTTCATTGTAAAGGGTTTAAACACTGTTTCCCATGCTTGTTCAATGAACCATAAACAATTAATGAACATGCACCTGTGGAACGGTCGTTAAGACACTAACAACTTACAGACGGTAGGCAATTAAGGTCACAGTTATGAAAACTTAGGACACTAAAGAGGCCTTTCTACTGACTCTGAAAAACACCAAAAGAAAGATGGCCAGGGTCCCTGCTCATCTGCGTGAACGTGCCTTAGGCATGCTGCAAGGAGGCATGAGGACTGCAGATGTGGCCAGGGCAATAAATTGCAATGTCCGTACTGTGAGACGCTTGACAGTGCTACAGGGTGACAGGACGGACATCTGATCGTCCTCGCAGTGGCAGACCACGTGTAACAACACCTGCACAGGATCGGTACATCCGAACATCACACCTACGGGACAGGTACAGGATGGCAACAACAGCTGCCCGAGTTACACCAGGAACGCACAATCCCTCCATCAGTGCTCAGACTGTCCGCAATAGGCAGAGAGAGGCTGGACTGAGGGCTTATATGCCTGTTGTAAGGCAGGTCCTCACCAGACATCACCGGCAACAACGTCGTCTATGGGCACAAACCCACCGTCGCTGGACCAGACAGGACTGGCAAAAAGTGCTCTTCACTGACGAGTCGCGGTTTTGTCTCACCAGGAATGATGGTTGGATTCGCGTTTATTGTCAAAGGAAAGAGCGTTACACCGAGGCCTGTACTCTGGAGCGGGATCGATTTGTAGGTGGAGGGTCCGTCATGGTGTGGGGCGGTGTGTCACAGCATCATCGGACTGAGCTTGTTGTCAACGCTGTGCGTTACAGGGAAGACATCCTCCTCCCTCAAGTGGTACCCTTCCTGCAGGCTCATCCTGACATGACCCTCCAGCATGACAATGCCACCAGCCATACTGCTCGTTCTGTGCGTGATTTCCTGCAAGACAGGAATGTCAGTGTTCTGCCATGGCCAGCAAAGAGCCCGGATCTCAATCCCATTGAGCACGTCTGGGACCTGTTGGATCGGAGGGTGAGGGCTAGGGCCATTCCTCCCCAGAAATGTCCAGGAACTTGCAGGTGCCTTGGTGGAAGAGTGGGGTAACATCTCACAGCAAGAACTGGCAAATCTGGTGCAGTCCATGTGGAGGAGATGCACTGCAGTACTTAATGCAGCTGGTGGCCACACCAGATACTGACTGTTACTTTTGATTTTGACCCCCCCTTTGTTCAGGGACACATTATTAAATTTCTGTTTGTCACATGTCTGTGGAACTTGTTCAGTTTATGTCTCAGTTGTTGAATCTTGTTATGTTCATACAAATATTTACACATGTTAAGTTTGCTGAAAATAAACACAGTTGACAGTGAGAGGACGTTTCTTTTTTTGCTGAATGTATATATTTTAAGGCAAAGGCCTTACTTCTTATGCCACATCAGGG